ACAATTGTCCCCTGGGGCCCCCCGGCCGCCATCACCGGCGGCTGGCTGGGCGCCCTGTGGGGCCAGGCCCTGTGCTGGGCTTTGGCTGGTGGTTCCCTCGGCTCTGCACCCGGTGGGGGGGTCAGCACGGCCCAGGTCCTGCCCCCATCAAGGACGGGGGGTCCTGAGGTGGCATGGCTCTCCCTGAGATAGCTGGGAGTAAAGTGGGCAGATTGGGGTACCGGGACCAGGTTATTTGACAATTACAGTTTGAATCTGTTTGCAGGTGGCAGTTTGTCTGAGTCATCAATGCCATCAGCGGTGTGAGGTTAATGGTTGCACTCGATGATCTTAATAGGTCCCTTCCAACTTAGACGATTCTATGGGTCTATCTCCAGGCACAGAGAGAGCTCTCTTCCCTTCCCAAAAGGGTACAATAAAGATGCACGACTAAACTTCAATTTATTAAAAATACTGACCTATTAATAACCATCTGCGAGTAGCAGAGACCGTCCTTCTCCAAACCCTTCTGTGGGCTTCCTGGAATACAACCACCACCCCCAGCACACACGTGCACACCTACACACACAGACTCACTGCTCTCTCTTGCTCCTCCAATACCTTTCGCACTTGTACTCAACCACCTGAGGGACGGATCCTGGCAATGCCTGGTGTGCTGCTTTTATTCTCATCTGAGAATAAAGGTGCGTGCGTGGTGCTTGTGTTGAAAAGTTGCGTGCAGAACAGGAGGGCTTGGCCTGCCTGCTTCCCCACTCTCTTTGTGCATCTTTCTCCGCATTTCTGTAAAGCGTTTTTACAAGTTTGCTATCGCTCCAGTAAATCTGCAGGTGTTTGCTTTCAGGGTGTGAGCAGGTTGGCATGGAAAGGCAAAGCTTTCTGCAATCCCTGACCTAAGACAAATAACAAAATGGGTCACGGAGCAGTGCTTTCCCCCTGGGATGGATACCTGGCTCGCTATCCCGTCAACCTGAGTCATTTTGCTGAACACGAAGGGTGCAAACACCACGATACAGTGAAGTGTCTGTCTTTGGCCTCAGACGCTGACGGTGATGATGGTGACGTGCGCGTACGTGGGTCGGGGGGTCTGAGGGAGCCTTTCAAGGGGCACAGTCTGTGCTCATCAGCCCATCCCCATCTTGCTGCCCTCCCGTGCGTGGCTGATAACTCCTCAGGATGAAAGCTGGCTCCATCTGTCTCTTCCATTTGACGGGGCACAGCACTAACTCTCCTGACATCCAGACCATCTTTGGTATGAGTCTCTCTGTCTTATCGCAGCCTGAGGAGACGCAGCCATAGGCTCTCCTTAGAGTGGGGGGGTTATTTTTACCTCTCCGCAGAGTCCCCTGGACGCAGTGTCCGACCTATAAAAGGACAGTGTTGACTATTGTCTTGGGGCATCTTGATTTGTGGAGATTCCTCTAGTCCCGAAGTGCAGATCTGCGTGTGGAACCACTTGCTGGCATCCACAGATGCTTTTTATAAATGTCCATGGCACTAAAACCACTTGCTCCTCAGGATCCTCAGCTTTTCCAGAGGAGGAGGCAGGGCGTGGAGGCACGTATAGGTATACAGCTATAAAGATAGAGAGGTATATACTGTGCCTGCTCAAGTGCATCATTCCAACCTGCTTTGGTACAACTCAGCTCTGCTTTACCCTAAAGAGACAGAACAGATCCCCAAAGTAAGGCATGGCTGGCTGTTACCCCGAGGGTGCTCCAAAGGCTGGATTTCACAGCCCTCACGTTTTTCTCTAGTTCTCACTGTCATTTTCCACTGCTCTCTTTTCTGTCTGTCTCTGTGCAGGAGTCTCTTTGGTTTTAATTTACAGTGTCATTCCTGTCTGCACAGAAGCTGGAGGCTCGAATAGAAGGCTTGTACTCTGCATATAGGAGCGAGAGCGCAGCCTCTTGGCTTGCCAGGGCAGGAATATCACAGCTAGCAGGGCCCCCAGTATCTGCAATGGATCTCTGCAAGTTCAGGCAGGTCCCCCGCCTCTCCTCTGCTCGGTTGCACTCTGCAACAGCACGTTCCTCTGCAGGAGTCAATGCCACCGTGGTGGCAAGGGCAAACGTGACCCCGGAGCGAGCGTGCAGCAAGCAGCATCCTTTCTCACCCTGCCACCACCATCCTTTTCACAGGTTAAAGCACAGATAGTACATTAAAGACACGAGATGCCCAGATCCTCCCTCATGGAAGCTGCAGAAATACCACAAACAGAAGCTAAACTCTAATCTTGCATCTATAAACAGCTTATGTTGCTTTTTATGAGCGTTTGAATCAAGCAGTGGGAATTGAAAGCAGCTGTTACTCAGTCACTGCACAGAAACGAGCAAGTGGCGGCTGAAGTCAACCACATTGGAGCAAAACGCCTGCAATTTCTAGTCAAAGTCACGGAGCGAGGATGTTGGAATAAAGAACAAATCAAAGAAAAGCGTTTTCTGCTCCCAGGTGTTCCGCTGATGGGAGGGCTGAGTTATCTGTCATGAATTATTCACCACTTCTAATGATGCTATGATGATTTTTTTGCAGGTAGGAAGAGGGACAGAGCCACCAGCTTGTGTCGCACAGCCCCCGGACAGCTTCTGGCTGCGGACACATCATCTGCCTGGAGAGGAACCACCCAGAGAGCCCTGTCCTGGCTGGGCTTCATCCCGTGCAGGACACCACCCGCACCCCAGGGACGCGCTGTCCCATGCCATGAGGGTTGAGGCGCGACCTGGCCCAGAAATACCCTTCACTTCCCTGTTTTCCTTCCCCCTCGCTGATTCATCAGGGTTCAACTTCCTGGAAACCAACCTTCAAAACTAGACTTTTGGACCTGTCAATGATACAGAAAAAATAATGGTTTTAATGTTTTCTCTGATGTTTTCATTTTTTTTTGAAAGAGCCTCTGGCCTTTTCTGGCTGGGACAGGCAGCACGTTGATGAAGGAGAGGTGCCCGCTGGTCTTTCCCGTGACAGGGACGGTGGCAGGGCCAAGCAGGTCCCTCGTTGCTCCATGGTGCAGTTCAGCCTGTACCTGGAGCGAATGCTCACGGGGCAGCATGTTGTAGGGTGGATGGGCTACAGGTTTGAAAAAGAGCTTGTTTGAGGCGAGAGAGGAGGTGAAGAACCTCCCAAGAACAGGGGCTCTGTTTGATGCAACCTGTCCCTCATGCTCACTTTGCTCCAGGCCTCCATCAACAAGACATGGCCAAACTGCAGCCCAGCTCCTGGCCCCACACTGAGGGTGGGGTGATGAACAAAGACCCTCACCCCCAAGTCTGAACTCGTCCCTCACATCTAGCAGTCATAAAACCTCCTTTTTCCCCCCTCTCTGTGGGAACATTCTGCTATCTCTCAAAGCTGGTGGAGACCAAAGGGTCTCCTTCATCTACTGCTTCAATGAGTAATCCAAAGCCAAAGCAGAGATACCGTTTAAGAGAGGAAGGAATGAAATTTAATGAGCCAAGTGGCACAGGAAGTTCCTGAAAAGAATAACTTCAGGTTTAAAACCAAGTTGCAGATCTCTCATTGTATACCGAGGGTTAGACACACACACGTGGAGGCCAACTCCTCAAGGTTGAAACGTCTCTGCAGATGTGTGACATCCAGGGAGGAAGGGACATGGATGGAGGAATCGCGCTGTTTGTGGTGCTCGGGTGGGTTCAAACGTTTCCGAGAGCCTGGGAGACAAGCATGAGAGGGCTTAATGCAATGAATCTTTGAGACAAGAATGATCCTTCTCAGATGAACCCAAAATGTCAATAGCCGTAATGCCACACCATTAAAAAGCCAGTCTTTCATGCAAATCGGTTTGCGTAGAATTAAATCTCCCTGGCAGCATTTGCCACCTAACCACCTGTACTGCTGAGCTGATGAACAGGAACCGGGGAGAAATGGATTAATAGATAAAAGGATGCTAAACACTCAAAGTTCAGACTTCGGTCTGTCTCCATTTTAACCTTCTGATGTTTAAAGAGATTTATAGAGAAGGGGGGAAGAGATTTTAAAATGTTTAATTTGTGTATTTAGCAGTAGCTGAAGGTCATTTTTTTCTTTTTCTTTTTTTTTTTCTTTCCCTGCTGCCTTTCACACAGCTGAGGAGAGGGAAATATGTTTAAGAAAAGTAAGCGAGATAACAAAACCATAAGAAACTGGCAGGGGAGTCTGAGGCCAGCTCTTAGTAATTTGGATTTTCTTTTAAATTCAATAGATTTCCAGGGGATATTTCACCCTAAAAGAAACCTGTTTCTCTGTTTTCCTCAGACAGACTTGGAGAAACACAAAAAGCTTAACAAACATCAATGATACGTTTTCCATATTCTTTCTAATGTTAATGGGAATGTTGATATGACTTAGTTCAGAAATTTCCTTGCTAAATACTTGGTATTTTCTTTGCATGAAGTCATTCACTGCTGCAGGTTTTTAAATATTTATTTCCACTGGCTGCTGCTTGATGACCACCTGAGCCTCTGGCGGGTTAGAAAATGTACCGCCATAAACCACACCAACCTCTCCCTTTCCGAGCAGAGAATCGACATAATTAACCAGATCACGACTGACAGTCCCAGGGTTGATGCTGTCCCGATAAATTTTAAATGGCACCAGATACAAATGAAGTTCATTACCGTGAACACAGTTTTTTGTGCTTTCAGAGCTGGGATTATTCCTGCAGCATTAGTCCACTGCAGGGTTGCTTGTGGGGTTTGGGTTTTGATTCCTCTGCCCCTGGCTGTTATATGCAGGATTTCCAATTTTGGAGTAAGCAGCAGGAGGCTCTGATAAACTCACCTGAAGTTTCTTCTTTCAGCCAGACATGATGTGCTTGACAAAAGCTGAGGAGGAAACGAGAAATGAGAACAAGAGAGGTCAAAGCATGCTGTGAGCTGTGGTGGGGCAGGCAGAGAGGCTGCGGGGGTACCCCCAGCCCAGGGCACCCCAAGGATGAAGAGCACATGCGCTGCCAGGACTGAGATTTCTGCTTCTGTTCCCACCTTATACCTGCCACCCCAAACCTGTTTAGTGACACCAAACCCCTCTTGGAGACAAGCTGGTACCGCTATCCCCAGTTTTCTGAAGCCAAGGGAAATGGGTACCCTCTTTTCCTCAATGCTCTCCAATTTTAGGGGTTCCCAGATTTAACCACCCCTTATGCCAGATTTTTACTCTCTTAGAGTCGTGAGTGATCTGGGTCTCCAAATGTTCCCAGTTAGCTTCTGCTGAAAAAGATGCTGGCTTTGTTTATTTTTGATAGCTTACAACAAAAGAGTGCCAAAACTAGGGATAAAACAGTCCTGAAACCCTTGGAAACATGCTGTCTTCAGCTGCTTTTACTGGAAATCACTGGCACAACTGCCTTGTTCCCACCCCAGCTGACACGTCTCACTGCTCTCCTCGGAGAGGCTTCGGAGGGTGATCCACACCTCCCTCTCACTGATCACCAATGTCCTTGCAGGGGACATTGCACCTTAAGACAAGACAACTGTGACTGAGATAGCCCCGATGGGCATCTCTTGCTCCTACCTTCATAGTTGATACAGCCATTGGCATCTTCTTGACCTGCCATGAGCTGCTCCACCTCGCTTTCCGTCATCTTCTCCCCTGGAGGAGGAGGATGGAGAGATGAGGGGAAGGGTTCTCAGCCCACCAAGACCCTCCTGTCCTTCTTCCAGAGAGCCAAAGCCACCAGAGGAAGGAAAAAGGGATTAAAAAGGAGCTGTGTGCCACTACAGACTGGGGAATGCTAATGGAAGATTGTAGAGAGGGGACCAAGCTGCAATGGCTGTCTGCTAATTGAGGATTTTATGGACTCTCCATCTCATCTGGATCACACACGAAGCTGTGGCATAAGATGGAAAAGGCCACACATTCAGGAGCCATTCGCTCCTACAACAGCCTACGAGCAGCAGGTCTCTCCAACGCAGGAGACCAACAAACTAACCTGAGCCATTTGCCCAAAAAGAGCTTAGGGGTGGCCTGTGTCCTGCTCCCCTCCCCAGGGCCAGCCCGTACCCAGCGTGACCAGCACATGGCGCAGCTCGGCCCCCATCACCATCCCGTTGCCCTCCTTGTCGAAGACACGCAGCCCTTCCACGAAGTCCTCGAAGGTGCCCTGCTCCTTGTTGCGGGTGAAGTGCTGCAGGATGGGGAGGAAGGTCTCGAAGTCCAGCATCTTTGTGTTCATTTCTGGAAGGGGAGGAGGAGATGGGGTCAGAGATTAATTTAATTGAACTGAAGTCATCAGCCTCTGAGGACCTCCTGCTTAACTTTCCTGTTCTCATTTCCATCTGAGCACAGGAAAGAAACCCCACAAGGTGGTGGGACTATCAGCATATTATACTTGAGATGGGAAGATCTGTGTGAGGAATGAAGTATTAACATCTGGTGACTGTATGCAGACTGCTGGTATCAGCCAAAATCTAAAACCAGCAGGTCGGTTCTGTGTCACCAGGGCAATGTGGCTGCACTGGGGCTGGTCAGGTCACACCAATTTGCACCAGCTCAGGATATGATCTGCTAAGCATCAGTTGCCACCATCCCCAGCTGAGGACAGCCTATCCCTTACGTCAGCCATGGTACAGGGAGGGGGCGTGAAGGAATTTTGCAGGAATGAAGCCTCTCTGCGTCATTTCCTTCCCAATTCCTTCATCTTGCACGGCTGCTCCTATGGGGGATGTAACCCTTCACTTGCTGCCAGGGAGCAGAGGGATTGCTTGTCCCACCCTGTCCCCACTGCCCCGGTTTGCTGTCACCTTCTGGTTTGGGCTTGCCCAGCACTTTCAGGACCTCTGCGTTGGTGGGGTTGTGACCGAGTGCCCGTAGGACGTCTCCACACTGTGCGTAGGTGATCTGCATGGCTCCCGTGGGCGTCCGGTCAAACAGGCTGAAGGCTTCTTTGAACTCTGCAGGGAAGAAGAGCTCGGATGTCCTCTGCCATGCTGGTTCCATTTCCCACCCTGCCAGGAGCGAGTCCTGCCTGGTGGGCAGGGAAGGGATGGACACATGCGTGGCGAGTGCCCTCTGCGCCCGATGTGGTGCCCAGGGCGGGCAGCCCTGCGCTACCTTGAGCGAGGAGCCACTGAAGCTTGCCAGACTCCTTCAACGAGTCGCTCAGCTTCTCAAGCAGGTTTTGCCACCCGTGCGGAGAGGGCTGGACAAATCCTGCTGGGATTCCTGCACCACCTTGTGCTGGCAGCACCAGCTGCAGGTGCAGGCTGCCATCTCTGCTGCAGAACATGCCCTTTGCTCTTCTCCTTTTCGAGACTCGGGCCTCCTGAGGACCCCATGACCATCCTGCTGCACCCCCATGGTGCCTACAGCGCCCCGTCCGCCCTGCTGGCATCCCCCCAGCCCCAACCAGGCAGACACAGCACAGCATTGCTCGTGTTTGGGGAAGGGTGACCATGCCCACCCCAGCCTTGCAGACCACGTGTCACACCAGCCCTGCGTGGAAGGACACCGGAGATTCATTTCCAACCTCATTCCCATAAATTATCACTCCATTGAGTGTTACATTTTACCTGGAGGAAAAAAGCTTTTATTAGCAACAATTAAGGATTGCTTTCCTTCTGTGTATGATGTTTTTCAGCTTCCCGACCTGCTGCTGGATTCTCTCTTTAATCCCAATGTTGGCTGAACACATGGTTTCGTGGTGGTTTTGGCAGTGTTAGGTTAATAGTTGGACTCGATGATCTTAAAGGTCCCTTCCAACCTAGGTGATTCTATGGTTCTATGGTTCTGTGGTTCCACACAGACCACCATGTACCTGTGCTGCTCAGAGCCTGGTTCTCTGCCTCTCATTTCAACCCAGATGATCTTCTCCGCTACAACAGGGTCCTCGCTGGTGTTGGGGTGCAAAACGTGAGAAACCAGTCTTCCAGGAACCCCCCTAAATCCTTACCCTCCTCCTCTGCAGGCAAGCCAAGGACCCCGAGGCTGGTGGCCGGTGCCTGCCTCTCCAGCTGCTCCACGCAGGCAGCGAGATGGTGGTTTTCCTGCAGCAGATGCTCCACAAACTTCTGGATTTCATCCTGCTGCCTCCAGACCAGTGAGGCCACCTGAGCAGTTGACTGACCCAAGTGGGTAATCAGCCTTTCGACCCTCTCCACCTGAATGCTCAGAGCTGTGAGTTTCTTGTCCATGGCGCCACTGAATTCCAGGTTCTGGTCCATCTTCTTCCTGACGTCCAGCAGTAGTTTACTCAAAGCGAAGCCGCTGCTCCTCCTGCTGTTGGGTGGGATGAGACGATCGCGGTCTCCATGCGGAGATGGAGATGTCACGGCCTGGTAGGCATTGCCTTGGGCTTGGTGGGAATCCTTGTCCAGGGCTTTGGGTTTGCTCCGTTTTCTACTTGGCATCTTTATATCTTTTGCAGAGCCTCACCATCCCCTGGACCTATCCACACGATGTCCCAGCCGAGTCCCTGTAGTCCTGTCCACAGTCCCCCCCAGCACCTTGGGGTGCTGCTGTTAACCCTCTTGACCTCACAATGGCTCCATCTCCGCAGGTGAGGTCCTTCCATCCGGCTCTGGGGTGGTCCAGGGAGGGACGCCACCGCCTGTGAGTCCCTGGGTCGAGAGACACCGCTATGAAGGTGCTCCGTGATGTCCACTCCTGACTACCTGGAGCCATGGGAGCATGTCACATGCTCTGGGACGTTGCTGCAGGTTAAACCCAAATATCTTTACATTTTAACTTGCTCACATTTCCACTGGCTCTCTTTTCGCCTTTCAAAAGCTGGTTTGGGGGCCAAGCCTGCAGGAGGTCTCCTCCTCCCAGTATTCCCACCAGGATCTGCCCTCAGATCTTGTCCCTTCCCTAGTCTGTACAGAGGCATTAAAACTGCCTGTGGAGAGATGAGAAATCCCAGTCCCAGCTCAGCCCCTCAGCATGGGGCTGTCCCTGCATCGCCAGAGGCTGCTCCTCCCTCGCGAATCCCAGACTTTGAACCCGGCTGCATCTCTCACCATGAATGGAAAAATACCTTTTCCCCGCCAGGCTCTGGACTGGGGATTATCCTCTTTGAGTGGGGCACCCTCAGCGCAGAGCGAGGAGCCAGGATCCATTCATTGCTCCCGGCAGCCCGGCGCTGCAGCCCCGGCTAAATCCCTGCGCTGGCTCCCACTCCCCTCCAGCATCGCTCCCGTCTCCGTCTCCTGCCTCCTCCCTTCCCACCAGCGCTCTTCCCCATCTTCTTACTGTCCCCATGCTGGTCAGGGATGTGACTTTCTGATTTCATATGTCCCTTCTACCTGCTAGGAAACCCCACGAGCCCATCCTGGAGGATGAACAGCGTGTTGGGGGGAACGGGGTACCGGGGGGCGGATTTAATGTGTGGGGGCTTTGCTCTCATGTCTGCTGCAAAAAACTGCCTGGAAGAAGGACTCCCCATTTCTAATGCCATCTCTGGGAGAAGGTGAATCTGTGCTTACCTTCGATCTGCTCTGCGGGGAATTCAATCTGTCGGGAGAAGAGAACAGAGCCGGGCATGAGGGCTGAGTTACTGCTGGGGTGACGATGGGGCTCTCCCCTGTGTTTGACACTCTCCCTCCCGAGACTCCCCCTGCGCGGGGCCGAGGGCCGTATCCCTGCCGTGTTCGGCCGTATCCCTGCCATGTCTGGCTGTATCCCTGCCGTGTCCCGTGCTGTGCCCGGGAATGCTCCTGCCCTCACTGCTGGGCCGAGATCCCCGTGGAAAGCGCAGTGGGCAGGAGATGGGCAGGCATTGGGGATGCTCGGACCATGGTCAGGGCTATTTTGGGTGGAAAGGATGTTATTTGAAGGCTTGATCCCTAGTTCAAGTGATTAAACAGCCTCCGTGCTGATCCTGCTCTTAATAACTCCCCTGCCACAGCTCTGGCTTAAAAATGTGACTATATCCTGGGGAATCACGCGAAAAGTGAGCTCCCATTGTGGAGACTTGGATAAAAGATGCTCTCACATGGAGGAGACAGCGCAGGTGGCAAAATACTCTAGGATGGAGACAGTGGGTGGCAGAAAAGCTTTTTAATGCTGCTGGGGCCCCGCCATGGCATTTCAGCCAGGAGCATTCAACTCCACAGCCGGAGCTCTGGCGGCAGCGCCCCGGTGCAAGCGCGAAGCAGTTTCTTTGGGTGAGAGCAGGGCTGGTTGGGGGAAGATTGAACCATCCCCCCAGAGAGGAGAGCATCACTCCCAGCCCGCAGCATCAATGCAATCGGATAATTTTCCCCTCCCAGCCCTGGCGCTCAGCCTGGCTAACGACGTTCGCGTGGTGCGTTGCATTGCCCGTGCCTGGCAGATGACAGGCACGAAGCAAGACGGTGATGTCTCCATTCCTCACTCACCTTCACGCTCTTGGGGTCGAAGGCAGGCTCTCTGGGCGGCTCGGGGACTGGAGCCGCTTTGGCTGCTTCTTTCTTCGGGTCGGGTTTCTTGAGCGGCATCGCGCTGGGTCTTTGCAAAGGTGCAGGGATGAGTCCTGCCGCCCAGCAAAGCAACCGACCAGAGGGATGAAAGGCAAAGCCTGCTCCTTCCCTTATATACAGAGCCCTGTCCTCACCCCGGAGGGGCAGGCCAGCTGCTGGAGCAACTGCTGCTTACTATAAAAGGAAGAAAACTCAAACGAGAGGGGCCCCAACTTGACAATTGCCCATTGTCATCGGCTCCCAGCGCAGCGAAGCCACCAGCCGCCCCCCCTGCCCCTCCCCAGCCGCAAAAGGGAGGATGTCTCCCCCTCCAGCACCTGCACCGGGTGGGCTGCACGGGGGCCGCTTGCTAAATGATCACTGGAAACCTAAACGCGGACGGCCCCGGGTGCCTGGCAAGAAAATAGCAACACGACGGCTGATAAACCTGCTGCCATACCCATGGGAAAAGCACGTCTGTTTTTAGGCAGGCCTGCAAGGGTGGAAGCTGCAGAGCCCTTTTTAAGATGGGGATTTATGAAGTGCTGCTTCAAAGGAGCGCAGTTGTCTCTGAACGACCCCCCCCAGCCTCGTGCTCGGGGTCTGGTTTGCCCCGAGCTCTCGGACAAGGCGCTGGCAGGACCTCGGAGGAGCTGCGCGGCCACGCTGCGGGCGAGAGACCATGCTAACCTTTGTCAGGATGGCGGGCGAGGGTAATGCGAATGACGGTTAAAGCTGGGCATTTAATTTCTCGTCTCAGGATCTTTCACAGCCCTGCGCCACGGTCCTGTGCATCCCCAAAACCTGTGGGGCAGAGTGGGCCATTGGGTCTCCTTTCAGCTCCTCTCCAGGCACTGGGCAGGCTCCAGTGGGAGATGCTCCTGCTCTCACCCTCCTCTCCCAACTGTTTGGAGATCCGCAGAAGAAGCAGAAGAAGTCATCAAGGTTCAGCAACCCAGAAAACAGGTCTCAGGGAGTTTACTGAGACATCCTAAACCATCCAGTCAAATACAGCCGGATTGTAACAGATCATGGGAGGAGGAAAACCCATCCCTAGTTTGCACTGAGGTCCCAGAGCTGGTGTTTTGGTAATGGAAAGAAATGGGAAAAAATTAATTACAACAGATGAGAGCATCTTCTCTGCCGTGGAGATGCTGCACAGCCCCGTTTCTCCAGCCAGCGCTTGCTTAAATTGGGCTGCAGGGACGGTTGCAAGCCGCTGGGTGGAACAGGATCCTGCGAGATGCTGTTAGTCCTGGTACGAGAGCTATGAGGTCCTGGTGCTGGCTGGAGTCTGAGCCATTAGATTTGTACATATATATATATACACACACACACATTATCTACGTACGTATTTAAGTTTTGGTTATACATAGATATCAAAAATGTGGTTCAGTTTATATTTGCAGGTGGTTGAGTCAGGCCGGTTCAGGTCATGTTGTATCGCAGCAGCTCAGGCTTGGCATGACCAGGGGTCAGCCTAATCCTGCTGTTTCGGAGCTGCTGCAGGGCTAGGAGCAGTGGGAACCGGGGGTGTCACCGGCTCAGCCCTGTGCCCAGAGGCCCCCCAGCCTCTTCCCTGCTGAAACGCTGCTCCAGCCGGAGGCTGAGCCATCGCCAGCTGGGTTACGGGGGTCTTTCGGGAGGAGGCAGTAGCTGCAAACTGCTGGGAAATTTGCTGTCTGCCGTCATCTCACAATCGCTAGCGTGGATTCAGGGAGCTGAGGGGGCTGGATGATGGGGCTGGGTGGGTGTCATTTGCAATAATTGCTCTCCAGATCTCTCTATAAGATAGCAAGTAATTTAGCAAAAGAAAAAAAACCAACAACCCAACATGTTTTGCTCACTGCAAACTCAGAGCCTGGGTCAGATTTCGCCTGCAGTGGGAATCAAATTGCCCCTGAGCATTGCTGCCTCCCCCTCAGCCAGCATCCATCCATCCACTCGACTCCAAAATAACCTTACCTTAACTCCATCCTCGCTTCCCGGCAGCTTCTGGGTCAGAAATCAGTACCCAGAAGAGCCTTCAGAAAGAATTAATCTTGCAATTTGACCGCGTATCCCATCTCCCGCCCTGCGTGCCCACGCAGCATCCCGATGAGCGAGCGCGGGAGCTGCGGTGCTGCTTGGCAGAGCGATGCCGCTGGGGCCGGTGTCGGCACCCATGCGATGGTCCGGGGTGGTGGCTAAATTGGGCTGTGGAGATGGGCAGCTGCCAAAGATGCCCTTAATCCCTCCTTGATTTACAGCTGATTGCCAAGGCAGGGAAAGCAACCAGGAGGCTTCTTTTCCTGTCTCATTTAATCAGAGGGAGCAGCAGCACCTCCCGAGCGCTGTCATTTGGATTTGCTTTGCTCCCTCAGCCAGCTGATAAGCCTTCCCCCACCCCAGGAGCCAAACAAAAGTCTGACCAAGTAGCCACAGGGGCTTGTGGTCGGGTCCAGGATGAGGTGCCCTGCCAGGAGAACCCCGAGGGAGGCTCCGGGCTCTGCCCTGCGCGGGATTTTGCCCTTACAGAGGCAGCAATAGCTGTGCATGGCCATGGATTACACGGGCCACGAGTGAAGCTGTGGGTTGGGAACCTGCTGTTCCCGGGGTTTGGCACTGGGCTTTTGAATTTCAGCCTCATCTCACTAATGATGACCTGCTGGGGGAACAAGGACTCCCCGTGTTGCGCCCCCATCTCCCCAGGGGGATGCTCGGGCTGCTTGGGGGACACAAAGTGTTGGAGCTGGCGCGGAGGTGGGAGCAAACCACGTATCTGCATCATCCTGAAACACAGAGGACAGCCCTGGCGTCTCCCCAAGGGGACGCAGGTGACAAGGGACCGCTCCAATGGGGACAGTGTCAGCTGCGGTGGGACCAGCTCTGACCCACCGGTTCATCTTATCTCATTCACGGGCCGTGGGAGGGACCCATCAGGGTGGAAACTCCCTGGTGCCAGTCCTGTCCGTCTGTCCTGCCTGTTCCCACATCAGCCTCGCCTCAGCAGAGGGCTAAACGCAGTTGTGCGGTGAGGTCCTTCTGCAAACAAGCGCACGAAGTGGGGTGCTTGTCCTAGTGGGGTGCGGGGCTGATCCCGGCACATCTCCCCAAGAGCTTCCCGAGAGAAGGAAAAGGGTTAAACTGGCGTCTGCCTGAAAGACATCCCATCTCCAGAGCATCATGCGAGGTGATGCTCACTGCTCGCACCCTCTGCCTCCAGCCACCTCGCTGGGATTTTCCCTACCGTCTGTCCTTCGGTTCCTTGGGACCAGTCTGGGCTGGAGGGGACCGAGCAGCGAGGGGGTGGCGGGGGGATGCTCTGACAGCTGAAAAATGAGCCACCCAGGCAGTGAGAGAAGTTTCTGAAAAGAGAAGAGGAATCTGCCTTGAATGAAGAGGATTTTAGCACCTAGGGCTAAGCCAATAAACCTCTGCCATCCCCATCCGAACGGGAATTGTTTGCACATGCTCCAGGAGCTGCTTAAAGCAGGCGAGACACAGAGACTGAATAGCAGCAAGCATGGTGGGGGGAGAAACCCTCCTGGCCGGTAAGCCTGTGAGCGGTTCCCTGTAGCACTGCCGGGGCAGTGCCCGCCGGGGACAGGGGACTCACCTCGGGGTGCTCTCCCAGCCCTGAGCACCCAGGGACGGGCTGTGCCCCTGCCGCCACCTCGCCTCGACAGGGACCACAGCTGGGAAGGTGCTCCTAGAAGATGCTCTGTCCTGCCGAACGCACCAGCCCTCTCCATCACCTGCGACCCCGGGGCCGGCAGCAATTCCGCTGTCCCCAGGTGAAGGCTTTGCTTTCTCCAGCTCACCATCCCTGAGGTCCCCATCCCAGCAGTGCGGTGGGACCATGGAGGCACCCGTCCCCGTGGGAGGCATCACGGTGGCTCTCCTCTGCTGCTGCCTCCTGAGCTCTGTGTGGGCTCTGGTAAGTCTGCGTGGCCCCGTGGGCTCCTTCGGTCCCTTTTCTGGCTTTAAATATTGCTAATTGTGCAACCAGCTCTGGTCGGGGGCTGCGTACCCCCCGGCTGCACCTCTCGCTCTGCAGACCTGCCAAGCGGGAGCACAGAGCCTCTCACTCCTGCTAAAAGCTTTCCAGCAGCCATGGAGACACTGCGATGTGATGGTTTTTCCATTTCTTGGACGCATCCAGGGCAGGGTTCGCTGCCTCCGAGGCGTCTGGGGAACAGAAGGAGCGATTTACGGTCAGCGCAGGCTGCGCTGAGGGATGCGGTGAGGGCAGAGCTGGGTGCATCCAGCGCCTCTCCCGAAGCAGGGACCCCCTCAGCAGCCCCCCTCTGCCCACCCACCCGGACGGCTGCTTTTGGGAAGAGTATGACCGGGAGTTCAGGGTCTCCTCTCTGGGGGAGGATTTGGCCCCATTTGCCTGTGGGCAGTGCGGGAGCCAACACGACCCCGCTGCATCCCGGCTCCTTTTCACTCCCAGAGCTGTATCCCCATCCCAGCTCCAAACTCAGCATCTCAGTCCAAAACATCCCAAAAGACGTTTGCACGTGTGGCGTGACCGGGAGGCTGCAGCTGCCGCAGGCTGTGCCCATCCTCCACATGGCGCTGCTCCCAGCGCTGGGCGCCCGCTCGTTTGCCGATCCCCGGCCGGCCACTTTCACCAGGGGCTGCCAGACCCGGCTCGGAAGGGCTCATCGTGGGCAACGGGGACATCCAGTGCCCCTGGTGGGGTGGGCGAAGAGAAGCCAGGGCAGAAGCCCAACACGCCACTGATTCCTAGCCCAGAAACATGAAAGTACACACCTTTTTCTCAATGGGTGGAAGGGGACTCATGGTCGGCCTCAGCCTCACAAGAGGGAAAAACACGAGCGGGAAGGAAGGCAGCACTTTTGCTTTTCTCTTCCCCATAGCATTTGGATCTACCCAAAGCTGCACAAACCTGACTCACCCGGAGGGGGTTGGGAGGCCCCGGCCATACCGTGGCCGCTCCATTAGTTTTCCCTTGCCAGCACATCCATTTTCCATGCACACTCCTGTCTTCCCCGCCTGTCTCTTGCACTGGCTGTGACTCTCATTTCTTGCCCC